AACCCGAAAAAAATTCAGTGCAAAAGAGAAACCCAGATAAAAAAAAGCCTAAAAACACGCTAAAAATACCCCCAAAACCCAAACCTCTGCTTGGAGAGTAGCAATTCTATACAAATGTAAAGGCAACAATTTATAAGTGGCCACACATATAACTCATAAGGCGTGAATGACGGAAACATTTTGGGAGGAACTGAAAGGAGGGAAGAAAGGAGAGAAGGTCGAGTTTCAAACGATTTTGAGGGAAAAAGAAGGAACGATAATACACAAAAAGGCAGAAAAGAGGGAGAAAGGGTAAGAAAAAAAGGAAGATAGCATGAGGAAGGCAAATCAAGAAAGGGGGAAGAACTCCTGGTGGAGGACTGGTTCTATTTGCTTATTTGCAGTGAGATGTCTGCAACTTTCACACCTTTCTACCAAAACACAAACACACAAATGAGCAACCAACAAGACATGCAGTAAATAATATATATGAAGTGTTTAATAATATTCATATGATTCCCAAGTCTTACATACTACATTATGTACATATGGCATTAATACCTGCATAATATCGGGTGGCATTAGATTTCTTACTCTACACTTATTGACGGACATTGATTAATTTCACTGATAATGATATCCAATACTGTATTTTCATATTTGCAACAACAGACATCTGCAGTTCCAGAGAAGTCATGTAGAGGACTTACCAATCTGTTGCTAGTGAGTCTGAGAGCCCTATGAAACTAAATAAGATAGCATCAAGGCTACCTTTTAGACCATCCAACAGAACCTTACCAAATGCACTACTCAATTCTGTGTTCCATTTCTAGTAAATAGCATGGCAATGCCAGACCTAATCAGAGTTAGTATGTCTTACTGATAATGTGCTGTCTGGACATTTACATAGGATATAGTGATAGTATGTTAGAATGTAGTTTATTGAGTACAGTTTCCACACAATCGTGAGCTGCCATGGAAAATACAAGTTCAAGTGGAGTTCCCGATGCAACAAGAAGTCGTTCATCTCAGATCACAGCACAGCACCTTACTGTCCAAATTTGTTGTGTGTACAGCACACTGAAAGATTCACTACTATGACATGACTTTCTGACTGAAGCATTCTCACTTATCAACTACTACAGATAGGGTCTACAGTTAAAGCCCTCCTTCATGACTTGTGATGTTGTCTGCCGTTCTCTGTAGGAGCTCCGGCATCAGGATTGCTGTGGAGAAGACGGTTAGTACGCACAACACCGGAGGACAGGAAACACTGACAAATACGCAAAATGAAAGCAAAAAGCATTTTATCAAGAGGAGGAGAAAAGAGTGGAAGGAAAAAAAAACACTAGATTGCAAACGGCAAGGGAAAAAAAACAGATCTTTTTACTGTAATTTCTGTATGGATCCACCTGCCTTTTGAAGGGCTTTACGACCTATGACCTGCTAGAGTGAGGCCTGCCTGTCTCCCTTGTGGTGGGAGGGATGCTGACTTATCTGCGTTGCCTGTTCACTATGTGATGCTAGGTGGGACAGGGTGCGAGGTGCGTGGCACAAGGCACCCTCGTTGTCCGCTGGTCTAGTTGGGAGAAGTGGGGTTGGATGGTTGAGAGAATTGGTTGTGGGGGTTGGGCCTCAGATGTCGTCTGGGTGGTTGATTGGCAGGGCAGTTGGGTTGATTGGTTGCCCATTTGTTGGACGGCTGTTCGGTTGATTTGGGGGGCAGGGGAACATGCCTCCTGTTAACGGAATGTTATAGCAAGATCATCATCACAGTACACAACAAAGGACAGTCTTGGGGCTTCCTGACGAACAACTACAGGTTCCACACTCAGTACCTGCTGCACAGAGACGTGCCTACTGATTTGGACAGGTGAAAATGGTTTCATACAACAGCCAATGTACATGACTACATCAACCTACATTACGGACATCAAGCTGCACTATTCATAAAATATTTCAAGGTTATGCATCAAACATCTATTAGGCTGACATTTTTGTTTGTGAAAACAAAAAGATGAATTTCTTTCCTCGCTTCATTTTGGTCATTTTGATAAAAATGCAAGGCATTGAAGCGAGCGCCAGCAGAGGCAGTGCAGAATGCCAGACTAAGCCACATAGACACCACCAGGTTCCCTTTATGAAAAGTAGCAAAAAGTTGGAAACACTTTTAAACCCACCATCATATGCTGGTTAATAAGTACATGTATAACAGCTTCCTCTGGAAAACGGAGGAGACATATCCAAGACATTAAATTAAATGTAGAAACTTGGTTCTGTGTAATGATACCACGATCATTATCTTTGCCATCCAAGAGCAATCCCTTGGCTCATTATATATACTTATCATATGCCTATAACAAACATTGCATGCTTGGCAGCTAGATAGATATTACACATACACACACATGCACACACATACTACACAATATTTTGATCAGCAGTGCTTAATGATAAAAGGAAAGCACCTTTCCTAAGTAGTAAGAATGTGGAAGTAAACTATGCCATACTTTTAGTACAAGATGGAGTCCAGCTCTGCGATGAGAGGATGGTCGGACAGTCCTAACCAGTCCTAGCTTGGCAAGGGCCGAGCAGCATAGCCCCTGCCCTGCAGAGTGGGAATCCCATAAGGGGAATGTGAACCTTGTGTCGTCTGTCTTCAATCTTCGTCGATCCCGTTGCTTCTTCTGTCGGGGCTGTCCACGTTGTTTTCCTGGCCGTCCCTCTCTCTGGACGGAGACCGTGATTTGCTCCCATCACTCTCACTTCTCCCCCTGCTGCGTTCGCGCTCCTTGCTGGGGGACCGTGAACGTGAGCGTGATGATCTGATTGGTGCTTGCTTCTGAGACCCTGACCTGGACCTCTTTTTCCTCTCCTTAGATTTGGACCTTGACCGCCGGTCTCTTGACCGTGAGCGGTCTCTGCTGTAGCTGCGACTCCGCCGCGGGCTGCGACTCCTGCTGCGTGATCTGGATCTATACCTCTGTCGTCTGGGAGATCGAGATCTGGAATATCATTAGACATGATGTAACAACTACAAGAACTTGTCCTAAAAAAAGCCTTCTCAAATGTGTATGATGCAACATTTGTTGTAACAACTACAAGAACTTGTCCTAAAAAGCCTTGTTGAATGTGTATGATGCAACATTTGTTTGTACACTTCTTAAATGCAAGCATACCAGAACAGCTCACAGGAGAGATTTTCTGGCCTTGGTCCAACTGATACCCGTGGTGAGTCAATACTCAGCTACAATGACACATGCATTAATTCCACACAGCTAGCAGGAGACATTGATTATTCTTATGTAACTCCTAACAGCCCTACCTGGATCGTCTGGACCTGGAGCTGTGGGAGTTGTAGCGGTCGTGTGACCGTGACGGGGCGGGAGGTGGCAGTCCCCTGCGGGACGGTCGCCTCATCCCGTGTGAAAACTCCACCCTGGCCCGGACCCCGCAGATCATCTTCCCGTTCAGACTCTTGACCGCGTCTCTGGCGTCTCGGTGGTCCTCAAACTCCACGTATGCAAACCCCGGGGGGTTCCGCGCCACCCATACATTCCGCAGACGCCCAAAATCACTGCACAGACAATAGAGGGATCTTAGAAGTACATCAACAAATCTCAGCTGTATTAAACAACGGTACACTAGCCATTTTACATCCTGATTATGTATAGGTCTGGGCCTCTGGGGGATATCCAGAGCATGCCATTGATGAACAGAATTGTTAAGTGGTTTGGATGCGTTGACTGGTATTGCGATGGCATTGACTTGTCTAGTATCACATACAGTACAGCCAGACTTGTCAACATATCCACTCACAGAGGTAAGCCAAGAGGACAAGATGGCAGTCTGCCAGAACACCAGATGTGGAGGTGTGCCAACAGATCTGCTGAGTGTGGGAACAAGCTAGTGACTGCACAGGTTTATATCTATAATTGACTGAGACACCCACACACAAAGAAAAACTATTTAGCAGAGCAAGTAGTTATGTGCAGATGGATGGATCAAAAAGCTACAGTTGGAGTTTGTGTATGTCTGGGGGCTGATGTTAATTTTTTGTTTGGATGATAATTACATGTACATGTACAATGTATGTGTTGTTATGACTATGAGAAAATCTTTGGAACTCAAACTCAAAGAATGGTACAGCAAGCAAGTTTGAGATTTTTCTGCCCAGAGATTTACACCTTTAAAAAGTTTCTGGCTCATTAAAACTTTTTAACCTTTGTTGGACATTGGGGTTGATGACCGATAATGGTAGGATTCTGAAAAGTTGCAAAGCAAAGCACAACCATATAAGTGGCTAGGGATGCAATTATTTGCAATGAACAGGTGTTGTCTAACAAGGCCTCTTTGTTATGTTGTATTTTGGAACTTCTGCTAGAAGGTTCCAGAGTCCAGACCAGCCAGCTTTTATCATGACAATATTTTAAACTTGAAAACTTCAAAGCATTTTTATCCACCAGGGCAAACAAAATGCAAATTGGTCTCATGCTACCTGTTACCTGTTTTCCCCAATGCAAACATATTTGTACAAAGACAAAGGGTGATCTATTGTCTGCACTGACATGTCCCAACAGACCTGACAAACTTTTGCCAAGTACAAAACTGTATGTGGACAAGCCACTTGGAACAAAGCTCTTCTGTCTACCCACCACTTATGCTCACAGCATTAACAAGTAAACATTTCTCCAGGGTACACAGGTTGAGACGCTGCCAGTGCCAGGTAATTCATTCTCTGTTCAATAACCCGAAGGACATTCTTGAAACCATCATTCTTCTGTAGTTGCCCCGCAGGCTGACAAACTGGTTGAAAAATGTCCTTCACAGACAAGAATGTGATCATGAATCAGCCTGGGGGCAGGCGTGCCTACTGAGAACCAGTCTTTGTCTTGTCATGTCTGTACACCAACTCACCTACATCAATAGGACTGATAATTAATTTAAGAAAACTAGAAATGGATCAAGTCTTAAAGCTTTAACATTAACTCTACTTACTGATATTTTGTCAAGCAACAGAGACATTATATGTCCTTGGTTGAATGAATGAATGAAAAAAGACAATTTGCACCAGATATGATGAATAAATTATAAATTCCTAGTAGTAGTTAGTCAGTGATTTACCAGAAAATCCTGTATTGCAGTACTCTATAAACTTTAAAATATTCATGGAGGTAATTTTAAACTGCACCATGTGTTACACAATTTACCAGGAACATCTTCTATTGCACAAAGCATGTCACTTCAGATGGAAGAAAGAGGGTCCCATTCATGTCTAATCAAATAGGTTATTATCATTAATCATAACCTCTAATTAATGTGGGGGCGGGTCAGGTACTCAAAGAAACCACTTGGGACATTGTGTACAAACTCCCTTGTGTACAAACTCCCTGCTTTATACTGTAGTAGTTATCTCCAAGCAGATCTCTTCGGGAGGCAAGACACTTTGTTGGCTTGGCCGTATACAGTTGGACCCCGAAGAGATCTGCTTGGAGATCATGAGACTATGCTATATAGTCAGAAATAATTTGACACTCTTCAATGTTTCAAATTATATGGTACACACGTATTTCATTTATGTCAGTGCACTTGTAATCCCTGAAAATACTACTACCAACTTTACATCTGATCGATCCCCTGTTGCACCAGGCTATGTTTAGGTCCGGCGGGAAGTCCCTTCTATATCCGGGAGACCGTGAATAGGGGTCCGGGGGAGGAACTGCCACGTAAGCTGTACTTTATAAGCTTTACCGGCATTGTCAGGCCATTGCAGGTTCCTTTCAGAACGCTTACACGGTCGGTGGTTGACAGATTAAGACAATAGGCACCCCCAGTGTCACTATATAAAGGGCGTTAAGGTTCACTTAAGGCCGACAAAAACCACATGTTCCCGGCAGGTATTGTCCGCCGACCAGCTGGGTGCAACAACTCACCTGAACCGCTCCTCTATCTCGTGCTTGGCCGCTCCGGGCGGCAGGTTTCCGACGTAGATCTTGCAGTTGAGCGGACCGTGGTCCCTGTAGTGTGACATGCCTATGCCACTCCACAAATACTGTCACTCGCTGTCGAACTTGGCAAATATTTTGCTGCATAAAAAAGAAGTTAAAATTTCTCTCAGTCGCAAAGATGGAGGACGCGAACGGCGCACGCAAAGGATGCTGGGATGCACTAATCAGGCATGCGTAATGAGTCGGTTGCCATGGTTACAATTTGATTTCTATCCAAGATGGCGGCGGGTCTAGACGTGAAAATAAACACAGATCACGATCCTTGAAGACCATATATCTCAGTTGCTGGCCACGTTTTCCCCATAAAGGGCAGTTTATAAGGTAAGAACGAAGAAGAAGAGTTGTCTTTTGTTATGGGATCGTCAGGGATAACTATATTAGGCTTGTTATAAACAAGGAGGTTTAAAGAATCAAACTTCACTTGTGACCTTAGGCTAGCTAGATCCCTGGACACATTTCAACTTTTTACAGTGGTATTATGCTGGCTGCAAGCTGTACAAATGTTATTCATTTGAATGACTTTAGAGTAGAGTACTCTGTAGCTAAGGAGGCCTGTGAAGTCCCGTTCACAACAGCTCAGTCTGTCAGTACATTAGGTTGAGTATGCCCCTCCCACTTGTCATTTGAAAGTACATGTAGCTAGTTAACCTTAGTAACTTAGTGTTGTAAACATGAACCAATTTTATGATATTCCTTGCTTCAAGATCAATCTTTCTTGTATCCATAGATCAACGGACGTCACTAGCAGAAAGGCGTTGCCATGGCCGAGCCACAGCCGGAGGATGACCTGCTCAAGTCGCTGGAGTCCAAGTTCTCGGCCATGTTTGACTACACGCAGTGGCAGAGAACCAGAGCTGCAGTCGCCAGTGCCAAGTCAACCAAGACTAACAAAACTGTAAAGAGTCAGGCTACCTCATGTAAGTCGGACAGCGGCTAGGGATAAGATCACACTGTAACACAAGAGAAAGAGGTAACTGGAGGGTTGACTCTGACCCCCGGGATCGAACCCTTGTCAGCTCACAACCAGTGCACTAACCGATTAGGCCAAAAGGTCCAGGACCCATTGGGCTGGGTAGTTAGTGGTGCCTATATACTCACTGTTACAATGTGTAATATAGAAGTAAACTTCTGTCCTTTATGTGGAGTACAGTGTACTAGAAAATGTGTACAGATATTGACACCTTTTATCTGCAGTTGTGGAATGCCCTTCTCTTCAAAATACATCCCATTAAGTCATAAGTGTCATCATGGGCATCACGCAATGATACAATGTCATTCATTGTGTACAATGTCATTTATTCTTTCATTGTATACAATATTGCAGCCCGAGTCACACCAGATGAAACCTTGGACACACGGACAGTTGGCACAGCCTGCTCCTCCACATGTAAGCACTCCTGGAACAGGAAGGACCTGTACCACATACTGGATGAGAAGGCAGCAAAGGAAGCCAAAAAGAAGGAAATAGAAGACAATATCATGAAGGTAAGAAGGAAACAAGTTTCACCAACATGTACGTTGGTCAGATCAAGTGCAAAAAAAAAAAAAAAAATTAAGACAAAAGAAAATGTTGAGAAATTATCGTCGATGTAAAATGTTATGTGGATAAACTGACTATCCAAATTGAAAAACATCCTGAACTAGATACTTCAGGCTGAAGTATCTACCAGTATAAGTCATATTTGCTTATCGTGATGCCATTCAGGTTTTGGACTTTAAACACTAAATGGTTATGTCTGTTCCAATGATTTTAATGCCTCTGATTGTGTTAAATGAACAGCCAGAAAAAGTAGCCATATGATTGTATGTCAAGTAGTTGATTATGTTCATTAAACACACACCAGTTTTGACAATGAACCTAAGATGCCTTGCTTGCCTGTTGCATGCTGCTTAAGTCTCGGATTAAGGAATTGCTAGAATACTCGGCAAGTAAACGGGCTGACAAGCTCTTCCAGGATTCTAAGGATGTTGACATAGAGATGTGTAAAATCAGGACATTACAAGTAAGTGCTGGGTGTTACTGTGTTAGCTGGTGTTGTGGTAGATTACCTGTGTGTATTGTTTAGTTCCAGAATGGAACTTTGGTGAACACCATATCAAAAACACAAAGACGTTCAGCAGATACATTGTGATTTCAAGATCACTTGTGATTTCAAGATCACTTGTACTTTTCTACCATTTTTTTTAAATCATTGTAATATGTAAGAGAGGAATTAACATCACTTTTGACAAGACTTGTGCTTTAAACTTTTCCCTGTCCTTTCTTACAGATGAGAATAAAAGCAAGAATGCAAACCGTGGATGAGTACACCAAGAGATACGAGTATTTGTATCCTTTTGCTTCTGCCAATCATATATGCATCGCTTATGACCACTTTTATAATCATCACTGTCTACTAGAATCAGTTGGTTGGGTAGTAAACTCCCATTTGAGCCAAGGTGGTTTATTTTGCTCAATAATATATGATGGGTTTTCCTTGACTTTTTTTGATCACCAGATTGTCAGAAAATAAAAAGTTGCAAGCAGAAATTCAGGGAACAGAAAAACAGACTGTAAGTACACACATGGTTTTCAGTAGTTCGTTACAAATTTGATGTTTGCAAGTACTCAGTGATGAAGCCATGTTTGCAACTAAAAACATTTCAATTTGAAGGATACAGATTGACCTCAGTTTTGCTATGATGAAGATTGCGTCCTTGATTATGCCTACATCTTTTTTTAAGATGTGGTAAACAAATAGTGAATATTTTAGCATTAGTTGGTAATTACATTTTTTCATTGTATATTCTTTGCATTCATTTTGTTCTACAGCATAGAGACACAACAAAACTCCTTAGAAAATATGAGAAGTGTCGGGTAAGTATGTCATCTTACCTGCTTCTTGGTCCATTTCCCTTTTCAGTGGAGTTTATGTCGTAAGTCATTTATAGTGGCATGTAGCTATATTTCTTATACATGTACCACATATTGAAGTATGGAGTTCTGACTTCAATCTCTAGGGGGCAGTATCTACAATCAATAGCAAGTTTCACCAGGACCTGGAGTCAGCCCAGGCAGATCTCGAGGAGACAACAGAGAGGCTGAACAGGGATCTTGAAAGTAAGATATAAGATTCATAGTTCTGTTGTACCTGAGTTATCATTGGTTTAGCTTGTTCTCGCTAAAATATAGGAAGCCACAGCTTCACTTGGAAGTAAAACCAAATTGTGTTATGAAATTAAAAAGATAACAATGTTAGAGAACCATGATTGAATATTACATACTCTTGTAATAGTTACAGTTGCATCACTTATCAAGACTGTTAGAAACTGCAGTTTGTCACTTTAAAAATTACTTCATTGTGTTCTCTTCACCAAACCCTTTGCAGATCTTCATGGTGAGCTGAGGGCAGTAGAACACAGACTTAAGTTGAAACAGGAGGAACTCCATGTACTGGTCACATACAAGGACAAGGAGTACCCATCTAAGGCTCTGAAAATATCAGGGCTTGAGACGGAACTTAAAGACTTGGCTGCAGAGCAAGAGGTTTGTAACTTTCCCTTTAAATCTGCAGAATACTATGCATTGTATAACAACAAGGCTCACTTTATGCGGCTAGAGTTTGACTGTGACTATAGTATTTAGTCCAGAGTCATGTAGGAGATATGAGGTCTAAAGCAGACATTCTTAAACTACTTTGGAAGACCAGACAACTTTGTTACATATAGCTCTAGGAAGATCATGATAAAATACTATACTGCATAGTAAAACTTATAGAATAAGTATGCTTTGATGTGCCTTACAGCTTAAAGCTCAACAGCATTTTTATTCACAGATGTTAGGCCGAAATAAAAGTACTTATTTCCCCACAGGAGGAGTTGTCTGAGTTGAACAGAATCATCCACATCGAGAGAACAAGTTTTGAGAGGCAGAAGGTTGCAGATAACCAGGCTATGACTTCCAATGTCACAGAGGTAAGGATTAGACTCTTAACATTTGATATTATTACAAATTAATATTTGAGCTTCAGCACACTGAAGTAGCCATTTGGCTACCAATGGTTATGGCTTAGGCAGCAGAGGTTATATAGCAAGGTGTTGTGGTGATGGTATTCTTTCTTTTAGGAGACATGTACCGGTATTTGGCATTTTCTTCCTCGAATTTGATTTCAAGGCACATAGACTCTATACACAGATTTTATATAGGATGTTAAGTATTAGGATGTTAATTCCTCCATTTACCATGCTGTGGTAAGTACCCATAATGACGTTTATCTATTTTATCACAAGCACACAACATGACATGCTCCTACAGATACTAGGAGTGCAAAATCACAGACTGATCCTTTCTGATTTCCCCATGACAGCTGATACACCAGGCCCTATCTGACAACCCTGATGCCCAGGTAGTGTAGTATCATCCCCATGTGTCAAATGGTGGAGGAGGAATACTTACAATGTTGTAACTGACTACTAACACCATGGTGATCATGCCAGAGGTTCATTCAGGTTTCCGAGTTTGGCAGTTGTCAGTTATTTCAGGGTTTGGTAATTTTTACCTCCCCAACATGAAAATCCCCTATGCCTGCAGCCTTGTTCTTAGGTCTTGCTAACTTTTTCTTCAGTTTGTTCCAGCAGTTTAACAAGTTGTTATACTAAAGAATGCATGAGGTATCTAAATGTGCATGACATAAAAAGTTATGGGTTAAAGGTTTTGTATTGCAACAAAGACTGAATTTCTTGCAAGTCACACGTTTAGCTCAACAGCTAAACCTTATCAAACTGCCAAACAAAACCTTTTTTTGTTAGCAACAGGAAAAAAGATCCCTAGTGGATGTTGCCATGTGAAAACCAGTAACCAACAGAGGAAACCCACATATTGCCAGTTTTGCTCCTGCCATACTAACTGTATTCCTCATCTCTGGCTAGAAATCCATATCAGCCATGCACGGCAGCCTGAAGGACATGGCCTTACAGAACGCTGTCATGAAGAAAGAGATAGAGGTGCATCGTGGGGAGAGGGAAACCTTGAAGCAGGACATCTTGCTCCTGGAAGCTGAGCTAAAACAGCTCATCAAGGATCCCAAGTCACAAGTCCTTCAGCAGATCTTCCCCCACTTTTTCCCAAAGGAACCAAAGTGAGTTCATTCACTCGAAACCTTGTCAGAATCAATATTTTTAGTGCTACATATAGTTTTGCTATCAACATTTGCACCTGTAAACCTTAACTTTGTTCAATTTTGCTCATTTTTGTAACTATTTGTTTTATTATCATTTCTGCAGATGTACCCCAGACATGGATGTGGTCCTGGACATCCCCACACAGGAGTACCTACCTATCTAGAAGGGCAATTGATAGCAGTTTTTTTATAGTATAAAAATGTGTGGATAGCAATGTGAAAATTTGCTAGATTTAACTCAGTGAAAATTATATAATGGATATTTGTACATGCTTGATTATTTTGACTACATATCACTAGATATTATTGGTACTAAATCAGCTGCTATATTGTTTTAATTCTGAAGAAAGAATACCGTCCAAAATTATACTAATGCAGTATGACTAATGCTTTTAAGAAATGCAATCAAATTTTTAAAGATATTTTTAAGTAAGAGAGCATTTTTTTCAGCATCATTCTATCTGAAATGCTCAAATGTAAATATGATAGATAATATACCATTTCATATTTTTGTTGTGAGAGCCAGTTTTCCAACAATTTTTCAGGGGGAAAATTTGTTACATGTAATTTGTGTTACATATCATACAGGTATATATGCTGAAAGCAATAAATTCATGTGTTCACAGAAAAAATCACCTTGTCATCGTCTCCTTTGACTGATAATAAATATCATATGGAGATAAGAGAATATTAATACCAAATATCAAAGACTTGTCCCCTATCTGTGCAAGATTGATACCTTCTGGCCTGTTTCCTAAAAGTATAGAATGAAGATCTGATCATTCATGTTGAGAACCATAATGCCAATCTGCCAAAGTTACTTCCAATCCTGAAGATGTTCTGCAGTATGCAGTTCCAAAAACCTACCTATTGCATGGATCAATGGAGGCAACAAGAAGGGGAGAAATAGAAGTTTATTGGAACTCATATTTGTGCCTATAATTCACAATCATAGGAATATCATACATGGTAAGACAGGAATACACCCCAAGTGATAAGTCTGTCCTCTAACACCATCTGAGTGAACCGTGACGCTGTCAGGGACAGTTACCGGTAATCAACAGCAGCAACCAAAAGGGCTTCAAGATGATCAACACACTGTAAGCATTCCAATCCAAACAATCTGGGAGACAAGCAGCCTGCAAAACAACCACTGTCATGATCCTGACTTGTCCCTATTCCCTAATGCACTGTTTTCTGTCAACAGATAATACAATTTTCAGACATAAGGCTCTATGGGGTTGTTGTACACCAGAGGTGGGGCTAGACTGTGATATGGGTGGTTCATTTCCACTTGTTGTTCTCGTAGTCCCACTTGGACGCTAGGCCTTCTACAGGGTTGTTGCGCATCTGTAGCTGCCTCTTCATCATGGCCTCCTGCCACTCATAGTTACACGTGGAGGGCATCTCAGGCATAGCTGTAGAGAACAACAGGTGATAAGCATCACTTCAACACAGGGAATAGGATGACATTCACAAAGACTGACAGGCTGTTCTTTTCATATAGACTATACTACATATGTGCTGTAGTAGGACAAATAAACTTTCCCTGAAAGGGCTTAAGGAAGTGGCCAGACTCACCATACTTCTTCTGGATGATATACAGAACGAGCGTGAGAGCAATGATGAGGCTCGTGCCGCCAACCACTGTCTTCCACTCTCCGGTCGGCGCCTCAATCTCAGCCAGACTCTTGTGGAATTTGAGGCGGTACACTGCAAAAAAATAATGTGCAATGCATGTGAGAATCACTGCTGGGTATAGAGGGCTACCAAATGTACTGCAAAATGAATACAGATAAAGATGTTTTGGTTAAGGTATGGTTCTGTCTTGTCTAACCACTGGTACACTAATTTTGGGCCATAACAAAACAGTTAATCCCAGCTTGTTTCCATTCATCTATAAAATACTACAGAATCCTACAGAAAACTATTCTCTTTACATGCCTGATAGGTGAAAGAAACGTATATGCTCCATCAGCAAATAGGATGCAGTTAGTAAGCAGTTACTGTTAGCATCAGCCTAAAACAATGTTTAAGACACTCACACTGCTTGAGCTCTTCGTCTGATAGACTGTTCCAGTCGCCGGCCTCCTTTGTCTTCAGTGCCTTCTGAGCGTCGGTGAGCTCACTCACGTATGGGACATTGGGCATGGGGAAGTCTGGCCGATCCTCATAAACATTTCTGATTGATACGAAGGGACAAGATAAAACTTTAAAATACTTGACATATTTGGAGTTATATTTGTTCAATTTGTACTTAATGCTTTATCGACATTATTATTACATCATAAAGATATCTAAGTTTTGTTGTAATACCTGATAAAATGAAGACAACCAGTAATAATGGACCTTAAGGCCAAAAATGTTCAAAAGAGAATAGTTACATTTTTCTAACTTGAACGTAATGCTTTATCATTAATATTACATGATAAAGACATCTAAGTTTGTTGTAATTCCTAAAAAAAATGAAGACATTCTATGACGAAACTCAAGGCCAAAAATGTTCTAAATAGAATTTAGCTGTTGATTTGACTTTTACTGGAAATACTTTGTACAAGGCCAATATCCACTGGTACTAATCAAGGTAAGATTAAAACCCTGACCTTGGGTTGATCTGCCATGCCGGCATGCCTCCACCACCACCACCAGCCCGGGCTAACGAGGTAGAGAACGCTCTCCGTGCCACCAGCCGGGGGACTGCACGCATCAGCTGGTGTGCCATGGTTCTTCTCCTTCTGAAAAAATATATAAGATATCTCTAACCACAAGTAAATACATTGCATTCTCAACAATATATCTATTGCACTGTATTGTACAGTCTAACAGCATACAACAGTGAGTATAACATCTTAGATCAGCAAACTTCATCATAGCTCTCTTCAACAGATGAGGATGATTACATTATCATAGATACATTTGCAATATTTGTCGATGCAGTTGAGAGAAAATTGGGTTTAATTCAATATCAGGAAAATTTCGAAATTGAATGCAGTACAGGGTCGACATTGAAACGATGTCAAATGATGGAGAACAGGTTTTTTTTTCTACCTTTTTTGTGTGGCACAAATTATTGTTTTGGCATCGACCACTGTTCATCAGACTAATTAATTTTAGATAAATTAGAAGTTCTGAACACAATCACTCATGTCAGCAAATTTATTATTGATGTACATAACGCTTCTTCTTTTCAGCAGTTAAAAACACGTCCCGAAGTAACATACATGTATTTTCAAACGCCAAGGTCAAGGTCCATACAGTAGTTAAGAGGTTGTCAACATGATTTATGATGGATATAAAAAGGAAAATTTTAATGTGACGAATTGAAACCGACAAATGGCAAAGACACCCGTTTACACCTTTGTGGACTGAAAACGTACCTGATAATATGATATTCACAAACGGACAGTTTTGAATGCTAATCATAAGGAACATCGGGAACCAACCAACCAACGTAACCAACGTGCGCTACGTGCGGACAGACCGACCGGCAAAAAATGCAGAACCTCAACAAGGTCACACATTCGTAGCTCATCTCAGGAAAACAACGACAGGTAGTGAGATTTCACTTTGACTTACAGGTTTTATAAGAACAGACACATCTTTGGTATAAAAAATCGTGACATAACATATTGCAATTTTCGAGAATAACGAGGAAAAATTGACGACTTTACCTTACACAGTCCCGGAAAAAATGGCGGTCCTCAGTTAGTGACCGAACGCAAGGGCTGCTGGGTAAGATTCGTTTGACGATAAAATATTTCAAAAGCTTCTAATAATGTTTTTAGAGCAATTTTATTAATAACGAATATCATAAATTTGCTTTGTATAATCTTGTAAATCACAAAATTTACAGTTTAATCGTTGTGAACTGTTGTGAAACTAGTTCAAAGGTCAAGAATGTAGTCACCTGATCAACTCAGAACCAAGATGGCCGCCACGTTTGCAAATGTTTTTCTATCGGACATCACCAACTTTTGGAGCGCTTAAAAGTTAGGGAAAACTTCATCATCAGGTAACATTTGGCAGGGAACTGTTGACAAGTATATATAGCATCGGACTGAGGTAGGAATGATGGAATGGTTGGACCAGAGATCGCAGAAATGACTGCCGATGTCCCGATTGTTTGTGTGTTGTGTCACCGTTAAAAAACGCATGCCAGGTCACCGGTCTGAGTCATCGTCATCATCCGTACACTGACAGCTGGTGCGACGGAAGGCGTGTTGTCGTACCCTGCTTCAGAGACATCTGTGTAACAAGAAGTCTTAGGTAAGGGATAATGTATGATCGTTGGACGGACGGCTTGGCCGTTCATATATGCCGGTCTCAATTTGTACCAAGTTACTTGTTATATAATCAAGGAGGTTCAAAAAGGAAGTAATCAAATTATGAGGTTATACTTATAGCCATGGCCTGTAGCTGTATTCATAATTAATAAATGCATTTACTGTTTGATGATGTATTTTGTTGCTGCTTGCTGTTCAGTGTACATGTACATGTGCTCGTAAGGTTTGAAGTGGAGAGTAGGAAATATGTCACAACTTTCGGTTATGATGTACAAATTACGTATCTCAAAATGAATTTCTCAACGTCTTTCCCTTTGTATGATCCACAGCTGAATAAAATTTGAAGAAGTGAGTGGTCTGGACTCTGGAGAAAATGGCTGGTCACTTCAGAAGTTACGTGTGGGACCCGACCCTCATCATGCTACAGATCATCACGGTTCAGAGTGTGTTCTACGGAGGACTGGGACTATGGATATTCGTTATTGACTTTTTTGCGGACGAGAGTAGATCGCTGGATCAAATATTTTCATATGAGGTAATATTGAGATTGCTTTGTTTGCAATGGCCAGGTGTTAGTGCATTCAACACAGGTCAACACATACAAGCCTTTGTTGTACATGTAATTACATGAATTGCCGTAATTACATGTATAACACAATGTCTGATTTCAATCTTCCTTTCAGTCTTTTTTGTACTTTTTGTTCCTTTTGGACATCACAATGCACTGGTTGAGAAATAAAGCTCTCTTAGCTGTAGTGTTAAATGTGTGTCACAAGCTTTTTTGTTAGTCTGACCAAGGAAACAAAGGCAAGGACCTATTGTGATTGTTATTGTAGTTGTCATCCTGATGGATGTGTATTGAACCTCACATCTGTCACCCTACAGCTTCTAGACTTCAGATCATCCCGAGGAAGACTTATGATGGCAGCATATGTACTAAATGCACTTACAGGGTAAGAAACTTTCCTTATTCTTCTGAACGTATTGCCAGTCAGTTATACTCTCCCACCTATTGATGTATTGATCATGATAATTTTTAATGTTCTTTGATCTAAATCAGTACTTAGGTCTTTGAATGATAAGAATTGAATAAATTAATGCAGTTTGTTGATAGACATCAGATTTTGTCAGACAATGCTTACTATACTAGTACATGTACTTCTTAATTGCTAACAATACTTGATTTTTTCTTCTATTTCAGGGCTTTAGGACTTTTATTCATAGTAGGAAGAGCAAAACAGGTACATACTGTTACCTCTCATTAAGTTTGTATGAATACACAGATGTATCATCTACATAATATTCTCATAGCTGATATAGTGCATTTGATAATTAGGATTTTCTGAACTGTTATTTCCGACCCTGCTGCAAATGTAACTCATGTATATTTATGATTATGATTCCCTTTCCTTCACAGTGTGTAGACTTCACAACTACAGCACATCTCTTCAACTTCATAGGCTGCTGGATCTACAACCAACATTTTCCCACCTCCTTAGTGTGGTGGCTCCTGAACATTGTGTGCATAGCCCTCATGGCTGTCATCGGGGAGTTCCTCTGCATGAGAAAAGAAATGCAAGCCATTCCTGTTAGCATAGGTCAGAAGGTAGACCTATGACATATCCAACAAGCGGACCCTTTTTGTGGCAGACTTTGTGAAATAAAACTCTACACAATATCTGTTTCTGTGTCTGATGGACAACAGCTTCAAATGAAAGATAAAGGACAAGTACAGCCAACACAGATGAAAGCTTTGCGGAAGAACATAGAAATGGACCTCCTCTCTCCTCCCTACTTGGCACAGTTCATATGCTCAATAAAACAGACTGAAAACCTTTTCCTGGATGTTTTTACTGCTACTCCTATGTGTTAAATTTGATGCTCAGGGGTGTTACTACTTGTACCATGTTTTTTTTTCATGTACTGTTGTGTCATTAAACGTGGTAGATGGTAATAGAGAGTTACTGCAACAAGTAAAAAGCACTTGCTTATTCTTTTCACATCTTTAGACATTCTATGATTATTTTACATTCGTTCAGCTGTATTCCGCTGGTATGGTTCAGAAATTTCAACAGTAATGAGTTGAACTTGCCCACAAAGTGTCCATGAGAAAGAAAGGAATATTGCAATTAAAAGTGGGAGTGTGGACAAGCTGTGTAGTATCATGTGCCACACCCATTTGTACTTGAGCACTGTATTTGTATAAATAACCAATCCTCCCATATATTGAGGATATGTTTTGTAAAGTTATCAAATATGATGTACAGAGAGTGTATATATATCTAACAAAGTACAGAACACAATGCAAAGGGTCCTTCAGTGAGATAGTCAAGCTTTGAAATTGGCCCACAGTAGTATGTTCAAGAATATATGAATGGTTGGATGCCAACAAACAAATGAAGGACCTGTTTATATCCATGTCTGTACATGTGTATGGAATCAGTAGGTATTGATAGCTTGGTTCCTGTACAGGTTGAAATAAATACTTAATGTGTTAATGTTAGTGTTTCAGTCTGTGCTTACTTCAAATCAAGGAGCTACATGTACATGTACTTGCTTCAGTGGGGTTTCTGCAGTACAGGTAAAACTATTCTAAAGTATGGTAGAACACACAAAAAGAGGCTATCGTGCATATATATATACATACCTGCATATCAATCTTATCAGCTCATTTTACAACGGAAAGCTACTGGAAAGCCAAGGGTACAGTTGATAAATGGGGGAGGGGGGCTTTCGTCCTACACATCTTCCCGACTAGAAAGTAAACATGATCCCAGGTGCCCCCATATCCATGCGCGGTGTGAAGGTCAGACCTAACAACACACGTCCCCTTACACCCACTAAAACTGCTAAAAGAACAGATTTTGATCAGCATGGAAAAGAAGACCCTGTCTGTTCATTCTGCCCCAAAGAAAAATGCACCAAAATCTTTCAATGATTGTTTTTCAAAAGGTGATAACAGCGGACCAATTTCTTGTCCCCTCATGGGTTGTTCAACTGAAGTCTTTACCATAGGTTCCCTAATTTCCCTATACATTGGCAGAGGTTCTCTTTAATGCACACGTGTACGCTGTGCTTATCTTCCACTTAAATTGGAAAGTTTAAAAAACAGCGAGGCTGAAGATTTTGACAAACACTTTTATTCAAAATAAATAAAAAAGCTAATGGTTCTCTTACTCCGTTATTGTGTTTTGATTACTGAAGGACTAAAGGAGATCATCCAAGCAACGTTGACGAGTGTACAGCATTCTACTAGGTATGGAAGACCATTAGTGCGTTTCTTTGTCTGCGTACGTTTTTCTGAGTTTTTTTTTCTGAATTGTTTTTGTTTCTCTTAGAAAATCTATAGTTGAAAGGTACCTCTCACCTCATAATCACACACAAGGAAATGCTGAATAAATGGGTATGACTCGAAAGCAATCCGACTTAAATTCACTGTACAGTTGACACTTCTGATTATTTACACCAGATATAACATGGTTTTGTTTTTAAATTTACACGTTAATACCATGTAAGTCTATCAAGTCATACTTGACCCTCATATCATTCCGCAGCACCACCTATAAGTCCATTCTGCTGTCTTAAAACCTACATTGTCAGTGACAATCCACATCATCCCGAATTCAACCCGAGTCAAGCACTCCTATGGACTTAAATGTGTCCCTACAAATCCCCACTGGGTTTTCAGTCTATGCGGCAGCTTCTGACGACGCCGCGGGCTGAGCTGCAGCAGCTTCTGCTACGGTGGAAGACGCGGCGTTTTCTTGTGCATCAGTCTCTTTCTTGTCAGAAGACACGTCTTCTTTTGCCTTGTCCTCACTTGTTGCCGTTTCAGCTGATTTATCGCTTTCCTGAGTTTGAGTATTCTCGTTTTCAGTCTTAGTAGCTGCGGTGTCCTCAGGACTTGCATCCTCTGCTTTGGACTCCGCTGATTCCGATGTTTTCTCCTCCTTTTCAGTCTTCTCAGAATCCTGCTCTTTGGGCTTGTCAGCCTCCGTGCTCTCTTCTACCTTTGCCGGATCTTCGGTTTTGGCTTCTGAGTTTTCCTCTGATTTACCTGCTTCGTCTACTTTAGCAGCATCTTCGGCTTTCGCAGGTTCTTCTGTTTTCGCATCATCTGTAGATTGTGCAGGCTCTTCAGTTTTGGCATCGGCCTCCGCTGGTGCTGGTTCCTCCGCCTTGGTACCATCCTCAGATTTAACTGGTTCTTCTGTCTTCGCAGTATCCTCTGCTTTTTCGGGTTCTTCTTTAGCGACAGCATCTTCAGTTTTTGTAGGTTCTTCTTTGTTAGCAGCGTCCTCTGATTTTGCAGGTTCTTCTGTGTTGGAACCGTCCTGCGTTTTGGCGGGTTCCTCTGTGGCAGCAGCGTCCTCCGTCTTAGCGGGTTCACCTGAAGCGTCTCCCTGTTCTGCGGGACCATCAGGCTTAGCAGCATCTTCCGTTTTTGCCGGTTCTTCCGTTTTGGCCGGTTCTTCCGTTTTTGCTGGTTCTTCCGTTTTGGCCGGTTCTTCCGTTTTGGCCGGTTCTTCCGTTTTGGCCGGTTCTTCCGTTTTGGCCGGTTCTTCAGTTTTGACTGGTTCTTCCGTTTTTTCAGGTTCTTCCGTTTTCGCTGGTTCTTCCGTTTTCGCTGGTTCTTCCGTTTTTGCAGGTTCTTCTGTTTTTGCAGGTTCTTCCGTTTTCGCTGGTTCTTCCGTTTTTGCCGGTTCTTCCGTTTTAGCCGGTTCTTCCGTTTTTACAGGTTCCTTTGACTCAGCAGCTTCCTTTTCTTGTGTGACTTCTTCCGTCTTGGCTGCTTCTTCAACTTTTGCAGGCTCTTCTGTCTTAGCGGCTTCCTCGTTTGTTGTAGAAGGCTCATCCTTTGCCTGTGCTGTCTCTTCTGTTTTAGCAGCGCCGTCTTCTTTCGCAGGCTCTTTCTCTTCTGTTTTTGCAGGTTCTTCTGTCTTAGACGTGTCCCCTGGCTCCGAGGCGCCTTCCTGTAGCTCCTCAGTCTTTTCTTTACTCTGTGGCTCCTCGGAAGGTTTGTCATCGGAAGCCTTTTCATTTGGAGCTGTTTGCTCGCTTTTTGCAGCGTCTACCACTGCTTCCTGTTTCTCTTCAGCCTTTTCTTCAGGAGGTTTGCTCTGCTCTTTTGTAGCATTATCATCCTTATTTTCTTTATCCTCCACACCTTCAGTCGACGAGCCGGGGACGTCCTTCTTCTCGCTTTCTTTTTCTGCGTCTTTGCTTTCTCCCGACTCCTTTTCTTGACTTTCAGCTGTCGTTTGGCCGTCTGAAGCTTCTTTCCCGCCATCGGCGGGCGGGGCATCTTTCTCGTCAGCAGAAGGCGTTTCCGTCTTGGCGTCTGTGGACGTTTCTGTGGGTGCTTCTCCCTGTGCGGCACTCTCCTGCTTCTCTTGTGCAGACTCTGACTCAGGTTTGACCACAGGCGGACCTGGGGTTGGCTCTGGAGGATTAACAGCTTCTGTCTGGGTAGCCTCACCGGCTTCAAACGCCTTCCTCTCCTCAGCATGCTTCGTCTTAATCTATGGAGAATCAGAATAAAACAATTTGTAACCATTGGGACATTTAAATACGAACATATTGAATATAAAATACTGAACAATGAAAGGTTGATCTAGGGTTTAAAATGAATCAGAATGCACAAACGTTCCCAATGTAGGAGTCAGCCGTACCTCCTCGTTCACTTGAATGATCCTGCCCTCCACTTTAGGAGCGATGCTGGTGTAGAGTGACTGCAGGGTTCTGATGCTGCTTTTATTCAGCACTTCCACGCTATTTTTCCTGTGTCAATCAAAACAGTCAAGACATAAATAAACAACTTTTATTTACATGATGTGTAAAAAGTCCTGACATTCTGTTTTAATTTCACGACAATGGAAGGAACTGGGTTTTTTTTGGAACAGCAGGAAGAATAGATTGTGATGAAACCTACTTTGCTACGCTGGCCACGTTGATGAGGCTCTGGTGATGCCCGGACCGGCAGGGTTTCAGACCCTTCACGATGTCCACGGCGGTGAAGTGGTTCTGGATGACAGTGGACAGGATCGGGCCCTCGTCTGGATCCGTCTGCCGAAAATGCAAAATGACTGAATTAATCATCATTATGTAGACTTAGCCGTGTACAAATTGTAGTGGGCCTCTTATGCATATTTTTGTTATGGGTACAGTTTATCGAATCATTTCTGTTTTTGTTGGGAACAATACAAAGAGTCCTCGGTCAAATCGTATAGTAAGTTCGCGTTCTATGCAGATGTAATGTGTGTAGATTGTAAGCAAAGATTGTAATGATTCCAGTGATGCCATTATGTGTGATAAGACAGGGGACCATGTTTTGTTCCAATTGATGTAGAAGTACATAAGTTTACCACACTGGAGAGATAGATGCTTGCAGTAGTAGTATCCATACCAGTGGTTTGCAGTCCTTAAACACGTCGTATCCGTCCTTGCCACGTGCTATGTACGCTTTAGTGCATACTTTGTACACCTGGATTGAGAAAAGACCAAAGAATTGTGATCACCATTTGGCGAGACATATGCCTTTACTGCAAATTATCGTCTGTGTGAAATCTGACCTGGAGCATGTTTGAAAATTAATGCGAATCAATAAGAAAAACTTACATAGAGAATACAGAAACGCATTTGTGCAACATTTGAAATATTTACAACTTTGGTTATTACTATCGCTATTGATTTGAATCATGTCGCACAATTGCAGAAGAGAACACAACAGCTACCTTGTCAGGCACCAGGTATTCCCCGTCTATCTTGACGGAGTTAGGGTCCACCCTGCTGCCCGCTGGTCCCTCGGGGTCGAACCCGAAGACGATGCCCGACACCTGCGGGAACCTGCCCTCAGTTTTAGGGTACTGACTCACTCCGTTCTCCAGAGCCTGCATGATCTGAGTACCTGAAAGGTGGAAAAATAGCTTGAAATCAGAATTAGCCAAAACGTATCATTTAAATTGGTAAATAATCTGCTTGCACCGAGTACGAAAATCGTTTGTAAAATTCGCTTCCTTTCGTTAACTTTTTCTCTTTTATCTAAGGCTGTAGATTCCTTTCTAAAACGACAATAACAAGTGCAGGAAAAAAATGCGGAGCAAAAAGTCTTTGTTCCGACCTGTAGCCTCCAGGACCACCAGCGGGTCGATGAGCGGCAGGATGGTCAGCAGGTCCTTGATGGTGAAGTCCCCGGCGCCATGGACGGAGTCGGACCGCATGGTGCCTGAGTTCAGGATGGCCAGGTCCGCCTGAGTAGCGGCTACCATCACGTCAGTCAGGAAGTTTCCTACATAGACGGAGTTGGGCGTTGTAATTTTCTGCTTAGGACCAGTAGCGATCAATCTGCGCAACTGGCAATAAAAGATAACCAAATTCCTGTCCTCGGTGCTGATTACCAACACTAAAGGATAACCAACATTCCTGTCCTTGGTGCTGATTACTAACACTAAAGTATAACCAACATTCCTGTCCTTGGTACTGATTACTAACACTAAAGGATAACCAACATTCCTGTCCTTGGTACTGATTACTAACACTAAAGGATAACCAACATCCCTGCCCTTGGTGCTGATTACTAACACTAAAGGATAACCAACATTCCTGTCCTTGGTACTGATTACTAACACTAAAGGATAACCAACATCCCTGTCCTTGGTGCTGATTACTAACACTAAAGGATAACCAACATTCCTGTCCTTGGTGCTGATTACTAACACTAAAGGATAACCGACATCCCTGTCCTTGGTACTGATCACTACCACTAGAGGATAACCAATATCTTACCAAGAGCGCTCTCCTGAGTTCTGACGGTGGCGAATCTCCCGTCCAGCTCAGATTCCATCCTCCCCAGCGTGGTGGCTGTCTTATCAGACATCAAACCTTTTCAGGAAGAAAAATGACGACAAATGAGCTACTCATTGTTGTACACACTGTCCGCTTACAATAAGGTCAGGTCATATGAAAACCATGATAAGTGTATTCAAAACACCTGAGGTAGATATGACAAACTGTATTGGCAGTGCCTCACCAATAGCGATACCGCTTCAAGCGTTGAAATGTTCGGTCCAGTGACGTACAAGGCTATACGTTACGTATAGAAAGAGTTATGTTAACCGAAGGGACCTTGACTGACCTGTGAACTCCTCAACAATTTTCTTCATCTCCCCATCCTCCCGGTACGCGCTGGTGACGTCCACCTGCATCGTGCTGATCTCGAACTTCGGGCCGATGAAGTCGATCTCCACCTTGGTGAACTGCCGGAACTCAGTCCCGCTCTTCACGATGTATTTCCCGTTTACCTGTTGGGTAAATAGGCAAGCAGAATTACAGTCAAGTGTTTGGAAATTTGAACGTCCTACCGCATCATTTGGACCGTCATTTGTCAAACAATTGAAGCATGTTTGCGTTGGAAATCGTTTCAAACAAGAATGTGGGTGACCTTGACTGACCGAAATTTTTTTTCGATAGGTTAGGCCATGTTGATTTGATTATACGGATGACATCCTCTGGGTCAGTCTGGGAACCCCTAAACTAACTCGAGCATGCGAATAAAAAAAATTGGAAAAAAAAGTTTCCTTCATTATGAAATCTACGTGGTCATAAAGGTTGAACAAATGACTAAACACACATGAGTATGGTATGGCGAATAATAATAGACTCTTCATTTTCATTTCTTCACATGTATTAACAGGTTACCAATTTGCAGTAGGTGAAGTGAAAACATAGAACAAATGCAGTCCCTTATCGACTCGGACGGGTAAAGCTCATATGTTACGTCATCCCACCTTTCTGACGTCATAGTCGTGGTCGTGTCCGCCCAGGATCAAGTCAACCTCCTCCACCTCCTCCGCCAGTCTGACGTCATTGGGCCATCTCATGTGCGTCAGCGCGATCACAAGGTCAGCGCCCTGCAGGTCACACAGACATGACTTTACCATATGTCCTTGTACAATTTGCAAATCTAAATGATAAGCTTCATTTAACTATAAGGTTCGTCCATAAGTGGGGTCGTGTGGCGTAACGGCAGATCGAGTGCTCGACTCGGAACCAAGAGGTCTCGGGTTCGAGTCCTGACATACCACCGATCTTGTGCCATTGAAAAAGGCACTTAACATGAAAATGAGTATTGTCTGTCCTGTTTCTATGTGTGGGACACAACATTGGGATGTGAAAAACTGTACCTCCTCCTTGAGTTCCTTAGCCAGTCTCCTCCCCTCCTCCACGTAGTCCAGATACTTCAGGTCGTCCTTGTCCACCGTTGCCAGGGTAACCAGCCACTCTTCCTCCACTAAACCGATGAGGCCAATCTGAGGGGAAGGGGGAACACCTGTTACAAAGCGTTTCTCCTCTGTACAGACCCATCCCAAATGTCCACAATTAGAAGTTCAAATGCAACCAATATTGAGAAGGGCAATTAGCGATTCGACCAATGAGAGAGTGGCTGCATGTCCGTCAAATTTCTGACGGAGGTGGGCGGGGCTTCAGGGTCGGTCTATTCTGTTGACCATTGCGATTGGCAGTCGTGTTAAGTAGACGCTGAAGTAGACGTTTGTTTTGAAACCATACACGAATAGACAACGTCCTTTAACGCACCGCAGCCATTGAAATCTAGCACGCAATAACTCAAAAGTGACTTTGTTTTGTCTTGCAAAATTCTCGAACTAACCCTATATTTTGTAAGTAGTATAGCATAAACTCAAGCATGTTTCCTACCTTTTTTGTGCCCCACACGATGACAGTTTTCTCCAGCCCGTCCGCCAGCGGCTTGTCTGTCAACGTGTCAATCACGTTACTCATCAGCCAGGGAAACTTCGTCTCCATGGTAACGTCCTCCAGTTCGTCAACTCCAAAGTCTGCGTTAGAGTACAGAGAAAATGTTGTTTTGGTCCAAAGTCAACAAAGAACACCCTTCAATAATGAACATCGTGACTACGCCCCCCCCCCCCAAGCAAAACATGTTAGATGTTGCAGTGGTGTCGTGTGGCGTAACGACAGGGCGTTCGCCTCGGAACCAAGAGGTCCCCTAGTTCGAATCCTCGAAGCATTGCCATCGATTTTACATGAATTTCCTCATTCAGGTGAAAATTAGTTTGTCTGTTGTCCGTGCGTTTGTCTGCGTTGGTAGCGGCATAAAAATGAGTTGAAAAACTTGAGTGTGCCGTCGCCATGTCTTGTGATAAATGTTGGAATAGGAAGAAAAACATGTTAGAGTTGATATCAATCTGCCACTTACCAAAGTCGTGATTCCCGTACACGGCGGCCTTAACCTTGAGTGAGTTTAGGACAGGGACCATCTGTTTGCCTTTTGTAATACTGCTCACTGTGAAGAAAAAAAACACGGTCACGTCATGTGAAGAAAAAAACACACAGAAATGACCAAAAAAAATGTCAAGACTATTGCGTATGATTGATAGTGATATTGACTCACTCATGGAGGGATTGAGGCAGTCTCCTGAGAAGAAGACGAGCGGGTTCTTGTCCCAGTATTTCCCCATGGCGGAGGCGAACCGCGCCGCCCCGCCCACAGGCTCGGTGTTCGGCCGCTCCTCGATGTTGTACACGTCGTTGAAGTGTAGCACGGTGAGTCGGCAGCGGCTGGGCAGCTGAGGTGAGGGGGACGTCACAGTCACAACCGGCTCTACTATAGCGGGGACAGACGGCACTTCAGAGGCACCTACAGATGGACATCCATATCAACGTTATGACAAAAATAATTTTTTGTCATAATGAAGTATACCAACATAGATGAACTTTCATGCTACGATCAATATCAACGGTTGCCATAAGTTTTCCTCAAAACATACATGTAGCTAATGTACAGGTGTATTTATATTCTAGAACAGATTTGTGTTTTTTAAACTACTGAAAGTACGTATACAAAGGAGGGATCTGACTATTAAATCATTCCATGCTCTAACGTTAACGTTCCTCCGAAGATGAACTCGCATTTCTTTTTTCCGAAAATTCCTCCAACAGTATCTGCATGTCATTAAAGAGGTTCACTACGCTACCACTACATGATTCACGTTACCAATTTAGCTGCTGTTCCATCTAGACTTTTGCGTGAAACCACACCAGAGGGGTACTACCGGTAGTTATTGTGTGAAAGATTATTCACTACTTGGTTTCTTCACTATACTGACAGCCCACCCTTTTAGTGTAATGTTATATACTTAAAAAGACATTTTCTTCTAGGCTACAAGTACGTTTGGCCACCTGTAACTTGAGATAAAGCTAGGGCTACTTTAGCCACTATAGCAACTTTAAGTACGTAACGTTAGGGAAAAGTGCAACGATTTTCTTTCTTTGGCATAACTCATTTCTGTCGTTGCCTGTAGCATGCTTTCCACTGACATTCCGATACAAGGCTTGAAGTGCTACAGGTAGCACACATTTCACTCTAGAGTCGGGGAGAACGACCAGCTTTGTACAAGCATATAATTCACGGGTGCAGGGACTGCAGTATTATCATTGTTCTTAGAAAAACATGCCCACTGTATCTTGCACATAAAAAATCAGCCTAAAAATCAGCCAAGGGCCCTTCCATTAACCGTTTTTCGTCATAATTTTTGGACTTTTTGCTCCAATGTTGTTTCAATTCAGCGTGTAGATAAGACATCATAAGTGACTAGAATATTGACTTTAAAAATCGGGTTTCCAAGCCCCAAAAACTGCACTGGATGCCTTCAAGGCAATGTTGTTTATATTTCCATCGCTGCCTGTAGTGTTTGTGTACCGTGTTTTGCCTTTAGCGAAGAGGCAAGGCAGACAAAGATTGCCAAAGTTTGGCAGGGCGTCACCATGAGACAGTCATCAACACGGTGTTTGTTACAGCCCGCGGTTTTGTCCGTTTTGTGGCGCTCCGATTCAGACGACTGTTTACATATTTAGTCAAAGGTAAGTGAGTCTTTAGATCTCCGTATCGGATAGTGCTGGCAGCGGCGGGGTCGCCTTTCCGTGGCAGGGCCGGGGTCTGGATAAGGTTGCTATGTAAACCAGTCAAGACAAAAGGGCAGCAGAATTGTGCCCAGTGCACATATACCTGTGACCCAGTACGGCCCTACAGGTGGGGCGGTTTAAATTTGCCACATGACAAACGTTATAGAGTATGTTTTTACCGAAATGACACCCAAAAGTTGCATGTAAACATTGTGTAGGACTGTTAAGAAACGTGGTTACTGGGTCATAACGTGTTTTATTTCATTTTTTAGCTTACCCAAAACATTCACTACACAAACCTGTGCAATCATCCCCAAGGTGCAGTTTATAGAAATATCTGCTTTGATCATATGGCCTAGTTATACAGCATTTAGGCTTTTTAGTTGGCAGAGTACTACCACTTGTGTTGTGTGAGATTTTGTCATAATCAAGTAAGAAACGATTGGAACACCTGGTGTGTCTACTACACACCGTCATTTCCTCCAGAAATGTAATATTATATGTTTATAAATCAAACATTCAAAATTCCATGCCAAGTAACAAACATACAGTCTTTGATAGGGGAGAGAAAATTACGAAAACACATACTGTATTCTATTCAGTTTGCGAACATACTTGAATATTAGGTAGATATCTATATAATGTTTATCAATCGGTATACTATATAGTATGTAGATAAACAACTTACCATCGCCAGCTCCCCTGTGGTGAACGTTTAGCAGGACAGGCTCGCCGTTAGGTACCGGCCGTGGTTCCGTGGCCAAGGGCTGGTTAGAGCTCGAGCCACAACCCATGGTGGCGACTGTCACCTGTTCAAGTACGCAGAATATTCTACGGTCTTCTCTTAGAAGAGTTTCCTATTGAGGTATGCCGTGTATACCGTATAGAGGTATACCCGCAGCGGAGGAATAAACTGTTCGTTGTCGTTCAAGTACGCACTCCAGAAACTCCCACGTCAGGTCTTAAGAGATGTTTGAAGGGAGTCTTCCTATCAACTGTCAGGCGAAGATTCCCTCCTTAAACCCCTCTGATCTCCATAGACACCAGGAACGCCTCGTTTTTGCCATCATCAGCGTTTGTTCTAGTTACCACTGGCGTTCTAGAACGCAGCTCGGATATCTTTCTTCAAACACACGATCCGGGGCAACTTGAAGATGACCGTCACAGTGGCAACGCCACACACAAATCACCCACCACTCTTGTAGAGTACACCACCTACCAGCAGTCCTGTCGGTATCTCCGCTGACAAGAACGCGGCAGTACCGCCCTCTTACACAACGTCAGGTGTGTGCGTGGGACGACGTAATCGTCAGCGACGTAATCGTAGCTAGCAACGTCCAAGTCGGGAAACCCGGGCGCTTATTCTGATAAAACACCGACTGATGAATTCAGATGACGATTTGTTGAAGTTTACAAAGTCCGACTCCCAGTTGACAGATGTTTGTAGGTTTTAACGGCCTACAGGATAAACTCACGTGTGTAGATCCTTCACCTGTCGGCGCCAGGGTCAGGCACAGCGTTGCTAAGGTGAGGACGTATCCATTGGGTAACGGGAGACGCACGGGGTGAGGGTATTATTGTTGACATGCGTTGCGTCACCGTCTTTGGCGCAGACTGTAACCCAGTGGCCACGGGTGAAAAACACTGAAGACTGGATGCAAATCCTTTTATATTTG